TGACCACTTTATCACTATTCCCTCTCACTTGTAGCTGTTTTTTCGTTATCTTTTCAATTTAATATGAATTATGGAACCGTTTTTGTTCACGTTTGTTTCCCCCGTTTCGTAAAATAAATTATTGAAAGTTGCTTTTGAAGTGCGTGACAGAAGTGCGTTTTGAGAACGACCGCAGACTGTCACCTGTTCAACGCATCAATATCTTCGGATGCCATTAAAGTAATAATGATTATAATAATAATGTCAAAATATTATTTACAGACTGATTTAACAGACGATCACTGCTGCCACGATCACTGGAAAGTCTGGGCGAGAAGCTTCCACAGAGGAGCGCCCAGTTTGCACCAGCTTTCTAAAGACGTTATTTACTTCACTCAAACTGCGTGTGGCTATTAGCGCTGGTGTTAGTGAATTAGACGTTGTTTATCAATGAGGCTCATTTGCATAGAAAGGGGCAATTGTTGCGCCAAATATATGCATATTACCTCATTTAAATACGTGCAAATAACACCGGAGCACCGAGACGCAATCTGCTTGGCAGCGCAGTTAGTGGAGCATTTCACCCTCTGCGCGTGCTTTGTGAATTAGACGATATCTGTTTGCTCCATTTTTACCGGTTTAGCAGCCGCAAAAGCCACGCAATCCTTTTGTGAATTCGGCCCTCAGTTACAATGTTGCAACATTGTGCGCGCACAGTCCTTCACCACCTGGATCCTAAAATAAACACCTGTTTTATTACATAATCATGCTCCTGTGTTGTGCCATTCATTACGATCCTGTGTTTCTGTCATTCAAATAACAAGACTTGTGGTTTAATACTCTTAATTATAACAGCTAACTTATTGAAAAATGTCGGGTTTAAATCGGGCTTGGGCCCATAATTACAGTTAATTGGACGGGCACAGGCTTGTGCACAGGCTCGGGCCGGGTCGGGCTGGATTTTTTGGGCCCGACTAAACTCTAATGCTAAGCTAACGTCAGAGAGAAAGTGACCGAGATAATATTAGCTGATGCTAAGCTAACCTCAGACAGATACAGTAGTGGAGCTAAGCTCATAGCTCGGCTCATCAGTGAAGTCGGTCTTCTCGTCATGTCTGAGTAAACATGCAGTAAAGTACGTCTGATAGGCAGCGCAGTGTCCTTTTTAATATCGTGCGTACTGAACTAGTTCCAGTTCTTGTTCAGAATAAATCTGTGTTTCGTGTTTTCCTCCCATCCATAAACTTCAACATGTTTAGCTCCTGTAGCTGTCGGAGCATGACCATAGTTTCCTCGTCCGTCCAGAAGTGCATCTTCTGCTTCTCAGTTGCCATAGAGTTTGTTTGTTTTTCCGGGAGTAACTGATCTGCTGCTACGTCATCTCCTTCTTCTTCTTCTTCTTCCTGGTGAAAGCCTGCGAAAGAAAAAGTGGTGCGTGCACAGAACACTGAGTCTGACTCCAGTCGCACTGAGTGGATACATGCAGCAGTTATTATCTGGGTAAACCATCAGAATGATGATCAGATAGCAACGTGTGTGTGTGTGTTGTGTGTGTGTGTCACGTGCAGCGCTGACACGTGGGTGCACACAGAGATGAGGAGGAGGAGGAGGAGCTGCAGGATGAAAACTGCTCTCACATCTGTAGATGAGACTGAAGCAGCAACATGTCTCTGTGTCACGTTACAGTCGTCCCCCGTCACCTGTCACTTCCTGTCGTCACTGATGTCACGCAGTCGGACTTTTCATCATCTCTGATGTTCATCAACAATAACTGTCTCCACAGTTGAACGGAGGTCTGGGATCATCCATTAACGCTCACTTGGTTGTATATTTTTAAACCAATCACAGTCGTCTTGGGCGGGACTAAACTCAGGATGCAGCAACACTGTTGGGGCGAACTTGTTCTGGTGAAATATTTGCATGTCGAATGCTGTCAATAAATGTCTCTGCAAAAAAGGCAAAACAAAAAACATGAACAGTCGTCTGTCACTCAGCACGTTTCCACGACGACAGAGAAAACTGATTTATTTAAAACCCCTGTGAACATGTCAGTGTGAGTGAAATGTTCCTGCAGTGAATGTGTCACAGTGGGACTAACACACCCAGATCATGTGACTCCTGCATGTATACAGTCAATCAGACCCAAACTGGCCGAGGCGCTCTGAGCATGCTCCACAGTTTCCGCCCCGGGCTTTGATCCGGAAGTCCAATAGCATTAAATGTGTAAGAGAAGAAGAAGCCGGTAACAACATGGAGAAATCTACATCCAGAGCCTTGACTTTTTGGACGTACCAAATGTACAGAGCTGTAAAGTTGTCCACCATGGTAGCAGTTAGCTGCTAGCTAACCGTAGCTAACTTGTTTGTCCATTGTTTGGTCTGTGACGTAATAGGTCAACAGGAAAAAGGTCCAATACTAACAAGCTGAAAGCTCACTGAATCCTGATGGTGATGATGATGATGATGATGATGATGTCGAATGGACTGACCAAACACTGGTTTTAGATACATGTTATAATGTCGGCCATCTTGGTTTTCCCACAGCCTCTGACTCCTCCAACACTGGACCTTTAATTTACAGCCGTTTGTCTGTTTTTATTGGTTCATTCATTTATATTTTTAATATTTAATTTCTGATTATTGTTTGTTTGTTTGCTGTTTATCACCCCTCCTCCTCCTCCCCCTCCCCCTCCTCCTCCTCTGTCTGCAGGAGGTGTGATCTCCTACGTGGGTTCATGTGGAGGCTCTCCGGCTCGGACCAGTCCAGTCTCTATGTACAGCGAGAACTCCAACTCCCAGCCCTGTTTCACCTCCTCTTCCTCTTCGTCCTCCTCTTCGTCCCTCAGCAGCAGCAGCAGCTCAGGCTCCGCAGGAGAAGATGGCTCCTCCTCAGCAGGAGGTTCACCTCGAGGCCGAGACGACAGCGGCGGCTCCCTGAGGGCGTCGCCCAGCAAGTCTGTGGCCAGTCTGACCAGTAAGGAGCTGACAGATAAACCAGTAGGACTGAGTGTGACACGAGACGAAACAGATTTGATCCTCTTTGGATTCTTGGTTCACGACGGAGTCGAGAGACAAAAACAAAGTCTTCATCATGAATTTAATTTAACAAGTGTTGAGTTACTGAAACACAGATGCTGTTCCTTTAAGTGAAGAGAGCTCAGTTTAAATGTGCAGTAAATCCATGTGACTCTGACGTGTGTGTGTGTGTGTGTGTGTGTTGCAGAGCTGAACAGCATGGTGCTGCTGTGTAAAGTTTGTGGTGACGTAGCTTCAGGTTTCCACTACGGAGTTCACGCCTGTGAAGGCTGCAAGGTGAGACACACATCAAGACCTCGAGCAGACTAGAAGAACTCCTGAGTAGACTTGATCCTGAACACTTCAAGAAAACGTGAACACCAAACTGTGGGACACACAGCCATTAAAGCTGTCTGTCTGTCTGTCTGTAGGGTTTCTTCCGGCGCAGCATCCAACAGAACATCCAGTATAAGAAGTGTGTGAAGAATGAGAGCTGCACCATCGTGAGGATCAACAGGAACCGCTGTCAGCAGTGTCGCTTCAGGAAGTGTTTGTCTGTGGGCATGAGCCGCGACGGTGAGTACACCTGTCTGTCTGACAACAGGAACATGTAGTTAAAGAAAGAGTATTTTAGTTTTGCTGTGATTACAGTTCTGATCTGTAACATCTCCTCCTCTTCCTCCTCACAGCGGTTCGTTTCGGTCGGATCCCGAAGCGTGAGAAACAGAGGATGTTGGCAGAGATGCAGAGCGCCATGAACAACATGGTGAACAACCAGCTGCAGAACGACTTCCAGCTCGCCAGCCTCTCTTCCTCCTCCTCGTCATCTTCGTCATCCTCCTCCTCCTCCTCTCCCTGCCCGGGCGTCACCATCGCTGCTCAGCCCCAGCCCTCCGCCCTGCCACTCACTCCTTCCTCCCCCTCAGCTCCCGCCCCTGCTTCCTCCTCCTCTCCTCCTCCTCTTCCTCCTCCCCCGTGTCAGAGCCCACCCTCCTCCTCCTCCTCCTCCTCCTCCTCCTCGTGCTCATCCTCCTCCTCCCCGCCTCCCAGCCCGGGGCTGGACTCCACCATCAGCGCCATTGCCCGTGCTCACCGAGAGACCTTCTTGTACGCCCATGACAAGCTGACCAATCCCTACGCGCCACCTCAGCAGCAGCAGCAGCAGAATAACCACGCCCACCACCACAATGGGGAGGCAGAGCCCTGGGGGCCCAACCGCTGCCCCAATGGTTACCACGCCAACGACCTCAACACCATCTATCACCACAACAACAACCTCGGGGCGGGGCGCTACCTGCCACAAGACAACGGTCGCAACGGCACACACCACCATCACCACAGCAACGGGAGGCGGAGCCAGCATAACAGTAACGTGACTGGAGGAGACAGGCTCGGCGATCATGTGACCCCGGGGCAGAAGTGTCCAATGAAGAACCGCACGGGGATAGTGCTGGTAAGAGCCAATCAAAACAAACCCAGTTAAATTGTTCTTTGTCAACACACATAAATGTTGGTGTCAATAAAGCTTTTTGAATTGAACTGTAAACGTAAACAGAGACGTGTCGTCTGTCTCCAGGCCTGTCCCATGAACATGCAGCCTCACGCCGACCCCTCAAAGACCCCTCAGGAGATCTGGGAGGACTTCTCTCTGTCCTTCACCCCCGCCGTCAGAGAGGTGGTGGAGTTTGCCAAACATATCCCAGGATTCAGTGCTCTGACCCAGAACGACCAGGTCACCCTGCTCAAGGCCGGCACCTTCGAGGTACGACGGGCGGAGTCTCGATAATCTTCTCTCTGCTGCTGAGAGGTCGATGTTCAGACTGATGGTTAGCCTAGCTTAGCATAAAGGCTGGAAACAGAGGGAAACTGTTAGCCTAGCTAAGCACAAAGACTGGAAGCAGGGGGAAACTGTTAGCCTAGCTTAGCACAAAGACTGGAAGCAGGGGGAAACTGTTAGTTTAGCTTAGCATAAAGACAGGAAACAAAGGGAAAGTGGTAGCTTAGCTTAGCATAAAGACGGGAAATGAAGGGAAAGTGGTAGCTTAGCTTAGCATTAAGACAGGAAACAAAGGGAAAGTGGTAGCTTAGCTTAGCATTAAGACAGGAATCAAAGGGAAAGTGGTAGCTTAGCTTAGCATAAAGACAGGAAACGAAGGGAAAGTGGTAGCTTAGCTTAGCATAAAGACAGGAAACTAACAGAAAGTGGTAGTTTAGCTTAGCATGAAGACAGGAACCAGCTAGCCTGGCTCTGTCCACAGGAAGTGAAGTCCTGTCAGTGGAGACTTCAGGAAATCACTCGCTCTGTTCAGTTTGTGCGCAGATGAAACAAACGAGACATAACATGTTTGGACAGTCAGGCTAACTGTTCCCCCTGTTTCCAGTCTTCATGCTAAGCTAAGCTAACCTGCTAAAAGAAAAGAGAGAACAGGTGAATTTCCCAAAATGACGAACTGATGTTGAGACGAGACGCACTGACTTTATATTCCCAGAAAGATGTCGGGTGTTTTCCTGTCTGCAGCCTCTTGTGGCCGTTACAGGAACTGCAGCTCATCCAACATCATCTTCCTCCTCCAGGTGCTGATGGTGCGCTTTGCGTCCCTGTTCGACGTGAAGGAGCAGACGGTGACCTTCATCTCCGGCGCCACCTACAGGCTGGAGGAGCTGCTGGCGATGGGGATGAATGAGCTGCTGGGAGCCATGTTTGACTTCAGCTACAAACTGGCTGTGCTGGATCTGAGCGCCCAGGAGCTGGGGCTGTTCACTGCTGTGGTGCTGGTGTCGGCAGGTCAGTGAACGTCACAGTTCATCACAGACGGCGATGACACAACCGAACTTTAATCCCCAGTATCTTCAATACAATCAGCTGTTCATATTCATATTCATTCATTCATATTAACGTTCTTTCTTTTAAAATCTGTTTGAGCTTGAGTAATAACACTTCCTATTCTTCTTCTCTTGCTCTTCAGACCGGTTTGGTATCGAGAACGTGGCGTCCGTGGAGCAGCTGCAGGAGAACCTCATCAAAGCGCTTCGCTCGCTGGTCAACAAACCCGCCGTCGACGCCGGCAACAACCATCACAACCTCGACTCGCCGCGTTTCACCAAACTGCTGCTGAAGCTGCCCGACCTGCGGACACTCAACAACATGCACTCTGAGAAGCTGCTGTCCTTCCGCATCGACGCCTGATGACCTCACCAATGACCTCACCGATGACCTCACCGATGACCTCACCGCACTCTGTTCAGACTCAGATCAGTGTCACTTCCTGTGGTCCTTGATGATAACTATGACATCATATGGTGCTTTCTATCGCTGTGACGTTGGCTCGTCACATCATCGTAACAAGTGATGTGCTGATGATGTCATCGCCGCCAACTCCGTCAGCGTTGCAATGACTGACAGTGATGATGTCATCAACAGTTCAACTGCTCAGCATGCAGCTCACCGCCAAAATAAGAGTCTGTAGCCTGCCTAGCACACTGACGGGCCAAGTTAAAGGAACAGTCAGACATTTTAATCTGTGTGAATCCAGGACTCAGTGTTAGCCTAGCTTAGCACAAACAGGAGGAAATAAATCACCAGCCATTCATGAACACAGAAATTACTCTCTCAGAATACTTCAATGTTGTCACTTTAACGGGTATGTTAGTATTTATAGGGTTAATAACTCAGATTCAGTTTGATAGTGATGACGTCAACAATTAGCTTCAACGCTAACTGCTACTAAAACCACAGAGTTCCTGTTTATATTTCTGTTTCTTCACCTGATTGATACATGTCACGCGACTCAGAGTTTAAACTGTTGGAAGGTGGAGATCTGTTCAGATGGAGGCTAACAGTTTCCCCCTGCTTCCAGCCTTTATGCTAAGCTAAGCTAACAGTTTCCCTTCATTTCCCGTCTTTATGCTAAGCTAAGCTACCACTTTCCCTTTGTTTCCTGTCTTTATGCTAAGCTAATCTAACAGTTTCCCCCTGCTTCCAGTCTCTGTGCTAAGCTAGGCTAACAGTTTCCCCCTGCTTCCAGCCTTTGTGCTAAGCTAAGCTAACAGTTTCCCCCTGCTTCCAGCCTTTGTGCTAAGCTAAGCTAACAGTTTCCCCCTGCTTCCAGCCTTTGTGCTAAGCTAGGCTAAACGAGACCATCTATTACAAATCGGGAAACATCCAGAGCTTCCAAACTCCATGTTGACGTGCAGAGAAAAAAAACAAAAAACAGTGTGGATTTAATGACGCCATCTTAACGCCATCATCTCCCGACCGACACCAGCCAATGCTACGCAGGAGTGGCTGTGACAGACAGCTCCATGGACCAATGAGACAGAGGGACGATGTGTTTCAGAGAGTCCGACGTTACAGCTCGTCTCTCTAATGAACTTGTGTATAAGTCTGTAAATATTCATAAATATCTGCTGAAGCTTGAACTGTTTGAAGAACTGTGTTTGACACACAAAGATTTGACACATTATATTTTTTGTTAATATGAACAATATGCCTGTGCAAATATTATGACTGTATCACGTGTGTGGGGCACAAACAGTGTTGAGTATGAAACGCATCTAATGGACATGAGATATTCTGATGTATGTATTTTAATGTGTTTTATGGTGTAAAGATATTATTTACATAAATATATAAACTGTCTGATTTATTGTGTCTCTGAAGAGTGAACTTTAACAGCTGCGTCATCAGCTCATTATTCACTATATAAAATTATATCTTAAGAAAATACCTATAAAATAATATTAAAATCAATATCTGTAAAATAACATCTATGAAGTAATATCTGCAAAAATTAATATTTAAAAAGTATAAATATAAAATTTGAATATCCAAAAAATATCTATAAAATAACAAGATTAAAAATTAAAATCTGTACAATAAATATCTATTGATGAATATCTAAAACTGCCTACAAAAAATAAATGTTGACAAAATATTTTTAAAACTAATATCTATAATTATATATATATATATATTTCCCCACTCAGCGACACACCCGCTGAGGATAAAACTCTGGTTATTGGCAGCTCTATTCTGAGAAACGTGAAGTTAGCAACACCAGCGGCCATAATCAAATGTATCCCTGGGGCCAGAGCGGGCGACATTGAGTCAAATTTAAAACTGCTGGCTAAAGCTAAACGTAGATTCAGTAAGATGGTTATTCACGTCGGCGGCAATGACACCTGGTTACGCCAATCGGAGGTCACTAAAATTAATATTGCCTCGGTGTGTGAATATGCAAAAACGATGTCGGACTCCGTAGTTTTCTCTGGACCCCTCCCAAATCTGACCAGTGATGACATGTTTAGCCGCATGTCATCATTTAACCGCTGGCTGTCCAGGTGGTGTCCAGCAAACGATGTGGGTTTTGTTAATAATTGGCAAACTTTCTGGGGAAAACCTGGTCTTATTAGGAGAGACGGCATTCACCCCACTTTGGATGGAGCTGCTCTCATTTCTAGGAACCTGGCAAATTTTATTAGTAATTTAAATCCCTGACAACCCAGAGTTGAGACCAGGACAGAGAGTTGCAGTCCTAAACGCCTCTCTGAGCTTCTAGTTCAGTTACCCAGCCATAGTTTTCATAGTTTTATACAAACGGTGTCTGTCCCCCGACCACCTAAATTATTTAAATCTAAAATTAAACAAAGAGGAGTTGTGCATAACAACCTCATAAAAATTAAAACCTCTTCTGTGACAGAAAGACAAAACAGGAGAATTAAATGCGGACTGTTAAATATCAGGTCTCTATCGTCTAAAGCAGTGTTAGTAAACGAATTAATATCAGATAATCATATTGATTTACTCAGTCTCACTGAAACCTGGCTGTGTCAAGATGAATATGTTAGTCTAAATGAGTCCACTCCTCCCAGTCATAATAATACCCACATTCCTCGAGGCAGCGGCCGAGGAGGGGGAGTTGCAGCCATTTTTAACTCTAGTCTGTTAATCAGCCCTAAACCTAAACTAGATTATAATTCATTTGAAAGCCTCGTTCTTAGTGTTTTACATCCGACCTGGAAAACCTCGCAGCCACTTTTATTTGTTATAGTGTACCGTGCTCCTGGCCCGTATTCTGAATTTGTATCTGAATTCTCAGAGTTTTTATCCAGTTTAGTTCTTAAATCAGATAAAGTTATTATTGTAGGCGATTTTAACATTCATGTCGACGTTGATAATGACTCCCTGGCTACCGCGTTTATCTCATTAATAGACTCCATTGGCTTCAGTCAGGGTGTACATGAACCCACTCACTGTTTTAACCATACCCTCGATCTAGTTCTGACGTATGGAATTGAAATTGATAACCTAAAAGTCTTTCCACAGAATCCCTTGCTATCAGATCATTATCTGATTACTTTTGATTTCTTTTTACTCGATTACACGCCACTCAGCAACAGTTACTATACTAGATGTTTATCAGATAGTGCTGTCACAAAATTTAAGGAAAAGATTACTTCGTCGTTAAATTCAATACCAATACCTTCAGTAACAGAGGTTTCCCGTGCCGACTTTAACCTCTCCCAAATTGATCATTTTGTTGATAGCGCCGTAGGCTCGCTGCGAACAACGCTCGACTCTGTAGCTCCTCTTAAAAAGAAGTTAACAAAGCAAAGAAAGTTTGCTCCTTGGTATAACTCTCAAACCCGTAGGTTAAAACAAATATCGCGAAAATTTGAAAGGAATTGGCGATTAACCAAACTGGAAGAATCTCGTTTAATCTGGACAGACAGTCTCAAAACTTATAAGAGGGGCCTCCGCAATGCCAGAGCAAACTATTACTCAGCATTAATAGAAGAAAACAAGAACAACCCCAGGTTTCTTTTCAGCACTGTAGCCAGGCTGACTGAGAGTCAAAGCTCTATTGAGCCTTGTATTCCTTTAGCCCTTAGCAGTAATGATTTTATGAGCTTTTTTAATGACAAAATTCTAACTATTAGAGGCAAAATTCATGACCTCCTGCCCTCAGATGGTAGGCCTACCTATCTAACCTCAAACACAGCTGTAGAATCTAATATATATTTAGATTGCTTCTCCCCAATTTCTCTTCAAGAATTGACCGCAGTGATTTCTTCATCTAAATCATCAACGTGTCTCTTAGACCCCATCCCAACTAGGCTACTTAAGGAGGTCTTTCCTTTAGTTAACACTCATATATTAGATATGATCAATATATCCCTATTAACAGGCTATGTACCACAGTCTTTTAAGGTAGCTGTAATTAAACCTCTCCTAAAAAAGCCCACCCTGGATCCAGAGGTGTTAGCCAACTATAGACCAATATCTAATCTTCCCTTTATGTCAAAGATCCTTGAGAAAGTAGTCGCAGACCAGCTGTGTGATTTTCTCCAGGATAATAATTTATTTGAGGAATTTCAGTCAGGATTTAGAGTGCATCATAGCACTGAGACAGCTCTAGTTAAAATTACAAATGACCTTCTGATTGCTTCAGACAAAGGACTCGTCTCTGTTCTTGTTTTATTAGATCTTAGTGCGGCGTTTGACACAATTGACCATCAAATTCTACTGCAGAGACTGGATCACTTAATTGGCCTAAAAGGTTCAGCACTAAGCTGGTTTAAATCTTATTTATCTGATCGTTTTCAATTTGTTGACGTTCGTAATGAATCATCCTTACGTACCAAAGTTTGTTTTGGAGTTCCGCAAGGTTCTGTGCTCGGACCAATCCTATTTACTCTATATATGCTTCCTTTAGGTAACATCATTAGAAATCACTCTATAAATTTCCATTGTTATGCGGATGATACACAGTTGTATTTATCGATGAAGCCAGAAGAAAGTAATCAATTAACTAAACTCCATAACTGCCTTAAAGACATAAAAAATTGGATGAGCACCAATTTCCTGATGTTAAATTCAGACAAAACTGAAGTTATTGTTCTTGGCCCCAAACAACTCAGAGACTCTTTATCTGATGACATAGTTTCTCTAGATGGCATTGCTCTGGCCTCTAGCACTACCGTAAGAAACCTCGGAGTAATATTTGATCAAGATTTGTCTTTTAATTCTCATTTAAAGCAAACCTCACGGACTGCATTTTTTCATCTGCGTAATATTGCGAAAATTAGGCCTATCCTGACCCGAAAAGATGCAGAAAAATTGGTCCACGCTTTTGTTACCTCAAGGCTGGATTACTGTAACTCTCTATTATCAGGTAGCTCTAGTAAGTCCTTAAAAACTCTCCAGCTAATTCAGAATGCAGCAGCACGTGTACTAACAGGAACTAAGAAACGAGATCATATTTCTCCTGTTTTAGCTTCTCTGCACTGGCTCCCTGTAAAATCCAGAATTGAATTTAAAATCCTACTGTTAACTTATAAAGCTCTAAATGGTCAAGCTCCGTCATATCTTAGAGAGCTCATAGTGCCATATTATCCCACCAGAACACTGCGCTCTGAGAACGCAGGGTTACTCGTGGTCCCTAAAGTCTCCAAAAGTAGATCAGGAGCCAGAGCCTTCAGCTATCAGGCTCCTCTCCTGTGGAATCATCTTCCTGTTACGGTCCGGGAGGCAGACACCGTCTCCACATTTAAGACTAGACTTAAGACTTTCCTCTTTGATAAAGCTTATAGTTAGGGCTGGCTCAGGCTTGCCCTGTACCAGCCCCTAGTTAGGCTGACTTAGGCCTAGTCTGCCGGAGGACCCCCTATAATACACCGGGCTCCCTCTCTCTCCCTCTCTCTCTCTCTCTCTCTCTCTCTCTCTCTCTCTCTCACTCTCATCCTATTACTGCATCTTGCTAACTCGGCCATTCTGGATGTCACTAACTCGGCTTCTTCTCCGGAGCCTTTGTGCTCCACTGTCTCTCAGATTAACTCATATCACAGCGGTGCCTGGACAGCGTGACGTGTGTGGTTGTGCTGCTGCCGTGGTCCTGCCAGATGCCTCCTGCTGCTGCTGCCATCATTAGTCA